AAATTTCAAGACCAATAAAAAAAAAACTAAGTCTCACTTTACGATTCACTTTTTAAGTGTTTTCATTGATATAAAGTTATGAGTACAAAAGTGTATGAAAATTGGAAATAAATATTAAATGTTTCGTAAAAGTATGGATGACTGATTTATAAGCAATTGATATTTTCTTAAACTTATATACACTTAAAACTTTTATAGACGTTTGTAGCCTTTGTCATATCTGGTTTAAAGTTTTGTGGTCAAAAAGAGTTCCGATTAAAATGCTACGTTAAACTTTTTAATTAGTCAAAAGATCGAACCATTTTGTCAATATTTTATTCTTTACATAATTCACATAAGATTTTTAATACATGATAAAAACCTTAATAAAACAAAAATAATTGAAAATATTTGAAATATTTACTCACCATATTAGTTAATAATATGAATACACTTAAATAATAAATCTGTAGTTCAGTACATTATTCTTTTCCATTAATTATGTGTTGGTGTATTATATTTCTGCACACTAGCTATTATATTGACAATAAAAGTAATATTTTTTACTATCTGCGGTACAACTGGCAAAAAATATAGGATACCTATGCTAAATAAAACTCATTCAACTTTCAAAAATAATGTATTGAAAAATCAATATTATGTTCTAACAATACAGTTRTTACTTAAAAATACTATTTATATTACATTATAAAGGGTTTTATATGGACGGCTCCGGAAACCAGAAACGAAACATTTTACAATTATAGTTGATTAACAATAACATTGAGTATCTCATAAGGTTATTCATCATAWTGTAGCACTATTACTATTGTGTTGGACGATAGTTATTTATTTATTTTGTTTTTAATTTAAACGGTCTATCTATAACGTTCACAATATGAATAAATTACATTTTCCGTGAACTAAATTAAAAAAGGGACTTAAGATTTAATTGTTTAGATAATATTTGTTATGCCGTCAACACGTCTTATTTAAAAGTAAATACAACCATTCATTATAAAATAGACATTTTTTTTGGACGTTTTCTGGTTCTTTTCTAAGAAAAAAGTTTGTACACTTAAATATAAAAAATTCYAGTAACGTAGAATATGCTTAGTGTTGTATCTARCATTCAGAGAATACATTTTTTTCAACTATACATATTTTAATAATCTGGATTTAATACGTGATTAACGTATGTTAAAAATATTTAGGTTAAGTTAGGTAATAATAAATATCTTGTAACAGAACATATTATATTATTTAAGATTRTAATATAAAAATTGTTCAACATCAAATAAACTAGGAAACAATTCTCTATACTCGTCATCGTGTTATAATATGGCAGAAGACGTGATATAAATGTATTTAGTTTTTTGTTATCATTATTCAATATTATGTCTTCTATTGACAAGTGTTTAGAATAGATTTTAGGAATTCCAAAATAATTTTAAATTTGAACTTTGTCGTTTTCCGTGTTTTTTTTATGTTTAAAATCAGGAGCATTTGCCTTTAACTATTAATATATGAAAAATATTAAAAATTAAATACAAATATTAGTATTTGCTTTGAAAAAGTCAAAGGTATATTTTACGAATAGTTTAATTAAATTGTTATAAATGAGTAGATTTCAGATTAAATATAAATATTTGTAATTTTATTAATTTATTAATAGTGTTTGCTAATTATAATATTTAGTTGACTTATTATTAAATAAGAACATACTTCGGAAACTTTCTTAATATAATTATCAATAAATAATTAAATATTATGYATTCTTATCTACACCAAATAAAACGTTATACAATAATTTAAAAGCAATGTATTATTTAATTTAATTTATATTTGTATTCACTCCATTGAAATTGTACGTTATTAAACTTTAGATTTTATTACCAACATATTATACTGTTGAAAATATTGAGTGTAAATACGGTAAGACGTCCTAGTGAAGTCGGGATGATTATTAAAGTCAAGAGTCCTCGCGCATGTATCCAGTCAACTTCTTTACCAAGTTAATTTCATTTTGAGAATGTGTCCTCTTCCCTAACCCATATCACTTTTGAGCAGTATTGTATTCAAATCCAGTTGCGTCTTTTCCTTATTA